ATTCTTGCTATATAGTTTTATTTTATTTGTATTTTTACGAATTGTAGTAACATTCACATTAGTTTATTAGTCAACTAGTGGTTACTATTACCCAATAAAATTATCAATAAAGATATGATCAAGGCCTAACCTTAATACAAAAAAAAAAAAAAATTACTTTATACTCTAAATATTCTTAAAATATACAAATAGAACAATAAACCTTTTCAATAAGTATTCTTTCAAAAATTCTTGATGTGATACTGTATGCAACTTTTCTAAATATCTTCTAAATATTTTTTAATCTTTTATATTTCATGTGAAAGAGATATAGAAAGAATTTCAATAATAAAAAAAAATCAGAAAAAGTTGCATATATTTTTGAAAAAATACTTGTGAAAAAGGTTTATTGGTTTACATATATATGTAAAACAATGTAATTTATATATTGCACAGAATGTATACAAATGAAAGCCTACTATAAAACAAATTATTGCTGAAAAATTTCTATCCAGCAAATGAAAAAGTAATAAGCTCTATACCAGATGTTGTTGATTGTACTAGAAGAGAATATAATAATAACTAATATGAATATTAAAACTATTGAGAAGTTTTTTTTAATTTGTGATCTGTGTGGAAACCAGTAAAACAACATAGTAAATCTTGAGAAAATTTACTATTGTTTTTAAATTTGGTGTTTTCCAAAGGATAAATCAGTTTTTGCCAAGTAAATCTCTCTTATATTTTAATAAATTTTGTAAGAGGAGAGAATTCTGGCTATAATAATGCTTAAAACATTAAAATCAGATCAGTGAATCATGAGATATGTCATTTTAATATAATAAACAAAGTAATACAATATAGTTATGAGGGCAAAAATGCACATCTCATGATTTCCTGAGCAAATTTTAACATTTAACAACCATTATAACTGGAATATCCTGCTACAACTTTTATTAGAAGTAGAAGAGAGATTTGCTTAGTTTAAAATCGATTTGTCATTAGGGAAATGTCAGATTCAAGAAAAGGCAGAGAATATCTACTGTTTACTATGTTTTCTACAAATTATAAATTAATAATTATGTATTGTTGTTAAATTGCCATTATTTGAATCTGCTTAACTTTACGAAAACTACTAAAAGAATAATGGTTATAATGGTTACAAAAATATATGTGTTAGAATAAAGTCTATTTGCTATAATTAAACATGCTATTTTATTAAATAAAAAGATATATTAGCCAGCAATCAATATCCAAAAATCACATATAAGCTGCAAAATAATCCGGCTACTATTTTTTCTTGAAATAAAAAATCTACATGCTGCAAATGTTTGTTTTTTTTTTATTTTTTTATTTTTTTTATAATAGGTATTTTTTTTTTTTCAGTTAGAACTTCTTAAATGTAACCCTCTTAAATGCAATATCTTCTAAATGCGATCTCAAGCTTTGGCCAAAATATATTTCTGACCTTCATAAATGCAATTTTTTCTATTGTGCTCTAAATAAAAGATTGGTCCCAAAGAGTTGTATATAGTGAGATCTAACTGTATTAAGCTCAAATTGATTTAGTTAAGATTAATTCTACTGAAGTTAGAACTGTACCAAAACTTTTTTTGCTTTTTTATATTAATGTAAAGGTAGACCTGTCCATTCATTTATATGGACAGAGAATATATTCATTATTGATTATATAATCTGGCTATACAGTTAGAGTACTCTTATATCAAAAAAAATTCTGAGCTGCCAACTAAAAAAATATGGGTTTGTAGTATCGCAAAAATTTCTTATATATCTTGTATAAAATTTGTTATACCAGTACAATTACATGAATATTTTAACATGAAATGTTGAGAGAAGGTTTTCCATTCAACTTTTTTGATATGAGCTATGCTGATTTTTGAAAAATTCTTTTTTAGTATAAGTAATAGTTTTAATTTATCCAAATCTAGTAGGAGTTAAGATAATATGTACTGACATGGTATATTCACATGCCATCATGCTGGTGTAGAAAAATATGTTATGTGAAAATTATATTTAAAATACTGATCATCATCAGTTAAGTTGGTCAGTTGAGCTGCTCTGACCGGCTAGTATTATTTATAGTTAATAACCATGACTAAGTGGTTATGACCATAACTGAACCATCTTTATTCTGAAGCTTAGTAATTAAAAATAGATAATCAATATTTAATAACTTTCAATTGCTATTATCATTGTTGATGAGATGCTCTTTTTAATGTTTAATAATAAGCAGCTTGTCATCAAATTGCAAGATCAAATGACTTTATGGATCACCTATTTAGAACTGTAATAGTTTTCTGTGTTGTTCTCATTAGATCAGGTTTTTCTTGGTAAAGTTTATGAGGATATGAATGTTAACAAATTAGTGCTAAAGTAAAGGAGTATTTTCATAGCATGAATCAGATCAGTGGAATGGAGAGAGAAAGATGTAATATAGTGTATTTAAGGGTGATGTTTTTAGTAAAAAAAAGCTCTTTGCTATTGCTTGCCTTGCAGAAAGGCTACTTTATCATCTAGAGTTTGAAACCAGATTTATTTTCATATATTAAAACTGGTTTTAATCAATTTAACATATGAAAAATAAACCCAGTTCTAAACACTATCATTCCTTCTATCCCACCCACAGTGCAGTGACTATAATTGTCTGAAGCGTAGTGACAGACACTCAATTTCTATGCATTAAGTGATACAAAAGTTACGTTTTTGATGTATTTGACCATCAAACGTTTCTTTTTGATGCATTAATGTAATTATTATAATTAACATATCAATAACGTAACTTCAAAATTTTTTGTCTGTCCTGCCACGTAATGCATGATTACAAAACTATTTTGAAAACAACAATTGATTACTGGTACAGTCAGGGATATTACTAAATATAGTAATGCTCCAAACTTATATTGGTTCCCGATTCCTAGTAAATTTAAATACTTGACAGTTGACTTGTATAACAAGGTATAATGTTAAGCAGTAGCATGTATAGACCTAGTTTTGGTTTAGTTTTTTATTTTTGTAACTATGAAGTTCCATGGCTGCTGCAGTAGTACAAAGATTTTGTTTTTGTAGTGATGAGGCTCCAAGGCTGCAGTATCACAAGGATTTTGTTTTTGTAATAATTAGGCTCTGAAGCTGCAGTAGCAGTGCAAGGACCTTAGTAATTAGGCCCCATGGCTGCGGTAATAGTTTAACACCTGGTTTTTGTAGCAATTAAACTGCAGTAGCAGTATGAGAACCTTGGCAATTAGGTTTCACGGCTGCAGAAGCAGTGTAAACACCTTGTTTAGGCTAAATAGCTACCATAGTAGTGCATGGACCTTCGCTAAATAGGTTGCAGGCTCCGTAGCTGAAATAACAGTGCAGTGTATTTAAAAAAACCAGTTTACTTATAGTCACCATAACTCAATCCTATATACCTGAGTACTCACATGCATATTGTGAGCGTTGAATTTACCCCATCTGGTAACGATGTGCAAATCAACGTCGTACCACTGTTCAATTTTTTAAATTTTTTAAATTTCTTAAATTGATTAAATTTATTAAATTAGTTAAATTAAATAAATGATGTAAATTGGTTAAATCGAACAAATCGAGGAAAACGAAAAATTTAATTAGAAAGAAGAAATTAATTAAATTTGTAAAATTTATTTGATATGTAAAAATAAGTATATAAGCGCTTAATATTTACCTTCAATAAAGATAACTCAGTGGAGTTCAAAAGTTCTAAGTTAAAGAAATCAGAATATTTAACTTACGATTCACCCTAATAGTGTAAAACTCAGTTGAGTTCGAAGTTCCAAGTTAAAGAAATTAGAGTATTTAACTTGAGAATAATAAATTCTCTAAGTAGAAGCATTTGTTCTACTAATCCCCCCGATAAGTGAAATCCCGTAATTACGAAAGGAACTCGTGACCAAATCCCGTGATTCTGAATAAAAGAGATTCGTGACGTAATTAAGAGCTCTAATCCAACACTATCGCTAAGAAACCAATTCACCCTAGTTACTCGGACCAAGTCTTTCCACGCCTCGATCGTTGCCTTACCAATACTAGGGGTTTGGTTTTATTAGTTGTAGTGTTTTGGTTAGAGAGTTTAGTTAGTTTTAGTAGTGTTAGTTGTATTATCCGAAACCGGATCATTTTACCCTCCCACATTTGGTGGTGACTGTGAGATTGAACTTCCCTAATCACCCAAATCACAATACCAACCCAAACTATTACCTCAAAACAATTATAACTTGTCACAAAAATTTATCCATATTATTGGGAAAGGTAACAACTAAAATGAATATAAGACAATTCGGGGAGTTAATAATCGGCAAGATCGAAGAAATCATTGCTGAATATGAAAGCAGAGAATATTATCGTAATACTATACCAGTTCCAATCATCCAGCATAATCGTAGGTCCGGGGAATTAAAGAAAGCTTATCAATATAAAACTAATAGATCTCAACATCAAACCCGCTCCATTTATAGTAACAGGAAATATCTAAAACAAGGTCATAAGAATGAGGATAGAACGGAGTGCTATTATATAAAGAGGGAAACAGTAAAACAAGAAGGAATCTCTAAGCCTAACGACGAAACCTCAAGTAGCTATAAGATCCTGCCAAACAATGAGTTATGGAAAAGTTATGCAAAAAAATGCACCAGTCAGGAGAGAGGCCTAAAATTAAAACGAGTTAATAATAAATGGCATAATAGAGAAAAAGACAGAAGCTTTCGTTTCAACAATCAGACACAAACAAGTACCCCAAATTTAAAAAAGCTCCAAAATATAAATTATAAGACCCAGGCCAGTAATGATTTATGGAATAGCCCTGCGAGAAAATATGTTAATCAAATTAAAAATCAAAAGAAAACAAGGCATATTAGTAAGCAGTGGAGTGATAAAAAAACGAATCTGAACCAAAATAAGGAGGAGGAAATATACATGCCTTGTTTAATAAAGACAAAAAAAGGTCTTACTTATACTCCTAATTGGAAAGAAGTAACCCGTCGTCCAAAAGATAATCCTAGAAAGACAAGTGCCTATGAAAACTCAGATAGTAAAGAGGATGAGAACTATTTATTAAAAATAGAATGCGAAGAATTATATAGTCATCCAACTTATCCAGAAACGAATAATACAAATGTCATAAAAGCTGATAGTCAGTTTTATAAGGAATCAAATAAGGAAATGCTTGAGATCCAATGTACTGTTTGGACGGAAAAAGTCGAACAACTCCGAAGTCTACCTAGTGTTACAAAATCAACGTTAGTAGATAAGCAAGATGTAAATTTAAATAATGATAAAATTGTAAACTACTTATCTAAAATTGACATTGATCGTCTAGAAGTCAAGCTTAATGAAGAAATCCCAAAACCTGCCAACAATAAAAGATTAGTTAATAGAAATAAAATTCTTGATAGACAGAAACAAAAAAGAGAAAAAAGTACGACCATACTTGGATTTTCTCTCAGCATTGTTCTATTATTGTTCCTATGTATAATGTTGGTTAATCTTGGAATAAGCTTAGAGAAAAATAAAATATCACATTTTTTCAGATCTAATACAATTAATCAGTATCTAAGAATACTGTAGTGAATAAACAGGAGGCATTAGACTATTATAAAAAATCAACAAAAATCGAACATGCAAATGGAACATTTATACTTGGCAACGGTTAAATAGAGGTGATAAGGATGAATATAAAGTAATCAATGACTATCAAAGCCTTGCCAATATAGAAGGAATGGATGTAGTTGGACATTGTTATCAACATGCGATTAGAGTTGAAACAGATAAACATAAGGAATTCAGTTGTAATCAAGAGTTTCATGATAAGCAAGTAATATTCGAATTGTATTTGAATAGTACTAAAAATGGTAGCTTGGATAAACAAAATGATCTTAGACTTAGATATCAAGACGGCATAAGTAAAGTTGAAGATAAAAAAACAACGTTCGAATGGAAGATGAAGTCTGTCAAAATGAACACAGCTAATAGTAAATTTATGATTGGTTATAAGAACAAAGCTGAGAATGAATGCTGATAAAGCTAAAATAGACCTGACGTTAGAGTGTGGTTGGTCAGAATAGGGTAGGGCGAGTTGTGGGGCCCTATTCAGAAGTCAAATCTGAACTAAATATACTTCACGATTTTAGCTTCCTTCAGTCACGAGGTTTAAAAGGTTTTTTTTTAGTTTATAGAATAAGGTAAATAACAGGATACAGGAAATGGTGTAGAACATTTAACAGTAAGATGGACGTAACGGCGAAGAGGATGGTTACGACAGTGGTGTGCGAGGATGGGGCACATTACCCGACCCTATAAGAAATTTTACACGTGATTGCACATGACTGCACGAAATATAGCACGTCCAAAGCACGGAAATCAGATCAGTTGCACGGAATCCGCATACACGCAAAATCGATGAACAAGGCGAAGATAATAAAGAAATTTGGGAAGGCGAAAATGGACGGCAAGAAGCAAGGAAACGTCCGTATCGATGGCAGATGAGCTATAAGGAGAAGCCCTGGATCGATATCATAGTGTAACCACCTATCATATCAGAGAATTAAGGGACGGAAATAAGGAACGTCCGCATTACCTGCTGGATAAGACTTGAGAGAAGCACCAGAGGAATGTCAAAGTGTACCCGAAAATGAAAATGGAATTGGTATTGAAAAGGATGAACATTGGCAAGACAAAAATCCGACATTAAATTTGATTTGGCCTAGGTAGTCGGTGGCCTAGCAATAATTGAAAAGACGAATTCATAGTTAGATTTTTATTTTTATTTTTTTCTTTTGTATTGTTCTTCTTTCTTTTTCTTTCTTTGTTATTAGTTTTTTTTGGGGTTTTCGTTGGTGTTCTCGTGGAATGAGTTTTTTTAGTAGGTGAGAAATGTGAGCGTTGAATTTACCCCATCTGGTAACGATGGCAAATCGATGTCGTACCACTGTTCAATTTTTTAAATTTTTTAAATTTCTTAAATCGATTAAATTTATTAAATTAGTTAAATTAAATAAATGGTGTAAATTGGTTAAATCGAACAAATCGAGGAAAACGAAGAAATTAATTAGAAAGAAGAAATTAATTAAATTTGTAAAATTTATTTGATATGTAAAAATAAGTATATAAGCGCTTAATATTTACCTTCAATAAAGATAACTCAGTGGAGTTCAAAAGTTCTAAGTTAAAGAAATCAGAATATTTAACTTACGAT